TCTTTCTTTCTTTCTTTCTTTCTTTCTTTCTTTCTTTCTTTCTTTCTTTCTTTCTTTCTTTCTTTCTTTCTTTCTTTCTTTCTTTCTTTCCTTTCAAGCTCCTTTGATCCAAAGATCTTGAGTGACTAAAAAGGAGCTTTTATTTCTTTAAGGAAAATATGGTGGAGAAATACTTGGTCACAATCAGCATAGTACTTGGATCTCTATCCATAGATAAGAGACTATGATATGGTAGAAGGTAATTTTGTTAAAATAGGGGCAATCCATAGCTCACAACAGAAATTATAATAAAGGCATTCCAGCATCACATGGGACAAGGAGTCAACCCTTTTCGGGCCGCATTGGCAAAGCCTGTCCAAATAAAGCATCTCCCATACAGGACGGCTGAAGGGGCAGCATTCAAACGTGCAAGGATAAATGCTCTACAGTTATGAGGGACTGTTAGAAATTTTAGATGGTCTGGGATGGTTGGAGATGGAAAGATGCCAAAAAACTGCCAACCACACAGACTCCTAGAAATCAAATGAATGGCTACGGTTCAAACCTTGACACGAAGATTTCCCAAACTACTCAATCCCCACATTATATGCCTGATTTTATTTTATAATACTTGCTTCCCCAGAATACTTGGTGATTTACAGTTCATAAAAACAAAAACAGGAAAGAAAGAAAGACCACTGAATTATAAGCTCTCTATGTTGGGATAGAATGGCTAAATTTTATTTTTTCTTTTCTGTTTTGCATTCCTGTCTGTCAATCTAAGCTCCTTCAAAACCAACATCATACGTGGCAAAAATATGTTGTACTTTTTTTGGGCACAGAAGTTTCAAGGAGATTTTTTTTGGGGGGGTATTTATTGAGTTTTTACGCTGTTAAACCTGTTCCACTGTCATGTCGTTGAGAAGCAAAATGGAAAAAGAACAAACACTGCCACATTTAAAAATAAACGCCTTGCTTAAAAAACAAAAACACACCCTTATTCCATCTACCCCCCTCCCCCCCATGAGGATATCCCTTCTCCAAACAATCCATGTTGCTGCTCTGGCCACAGGCTGGACTGCCTCCACTGATTTCAGCTAGCCAGACAGTGCCATTTCTCTTTTGGGTACGCATTCTTTAAAGGTGGCTTACTTCCCTCGCCACACAAACACTCATAATTTGCCCCGACTTCAATGAAACGTCATACCTTTATTATTACACGATGGGATTTTCACAGACCCTTGGAACGTATGTGAATTTTTGACAGAATATAAACCGGAAGAGAGGAACATTAGCTTTAAGTTTGTGTAACTTCTACAATTTGGCCATTTTAAACAGGATTTTTAAAAATTGTCCCCCCCCCCCCAAAAAAAACACACAGCTTGGACAGATTCTGCATGCCACATTTCAGACAGACAGAGGGGCAAACGATCTTGACTTCACGACAGGCTGCCAAGTATTATAAACGGTCTCATCTATTTTATTTGTAGCCTGCTGTGCTGAGACTCAGGGCTGATTACATCATCAAAATAATGCAGCCTACACTCTCATGGCTGAATAATAAAGAGATTCAACAGCAGTAATGACCAATTATGAGGCTCTGCTCAGCGTATATTTACCATCATGCCATACAGTGGAAGTTGTCCGTGGACTTTAAATTGATTTGAAGCAGTCAGGCCCCTGCTTGTGTATAGCAAGACATCATTGAACTGAAAAAGGATGGGGGAAAGCACAAATTAACACTCTGTCAAAAGGTGCTGTGCTGGGACCCCACCAAGGAGATATGTGCTCCAGTGTCTCCCCAAAAGTCTCTTACCACCCAAGGGCGCTCTCTCTCTCTCTCTCTCCCCCCAGGTGCAGGAGGCTACCACGTACCTCCTTCCTGGCCTGCGACAGATCCTTTTATAAGGGCCAGGCAGCTTTGCCCCCCCACCTTCCTGGGATCGCTGGCCCACTGTGAGGCTGCTGTAACGGGATACCTTCCCCCTTCTGCTTCCCTGTTGATTCAGCTGCCACTGACTGCCTCTGCTCCCAGTTCTCCCTGCCCCATACTGTCTGGCCAGGCCCAAAGAGGGTGAGGCCCAGAAGCAGAGGCACACCCTGATGGAGCTGCCCTGCCCAAGGGATGGGGAGAGTAGCCACATGTCATCTCAGCCCTGAAGTGCTGAACAGCCCCCACGGCCTGGCCCAAGCAGAGCAAGAGGCTGCATCAGTTCCAGGTGAACTAGGCAGTGGCTGGCCTCATGTTGAGGGCATGTGTGGGGAAAGCAGTGTGTGTGTGTGTGTGTTAGGTGTGTAGAAGACACACACTGGCTGACAAAAGCTGTCTTGTACCAAGATGCACCACTTGTCCATCTTGTCCAATACAGTCTACTTCACCTGGAAGCGGCTTCTCACAGACTCACACACAAGTTTCCCCCAGTCTTGCAATCAGAAATTCTTTTTAACAGAGATGGCTAGAACAGAGCCTCGGATTTCTCTGCAAGCAAAGCATGTGTTTTGCCACACAGGCCCAAGGCCCTTACTGGTTTTAAAAAATAAATAAATCAGGTTTAAGACTGAACCTCAAGGTGGCCATCTAAAAAGCGCAGGGAAAAAAATGCAGATACCAGGTATGGTATTCAGCAACCAGCCTCACATGTCTTTACATTTAATCGAAGGTTAGGCACAACCACTGATAGAAAACTCAGGCGAAAACCTTCTCCTCCATGTAGGAGAACGCATTGCACTCTTGCTCGGCTTTCTTTCCCATCTGCACCCCTCCTGTGCAATTTCCCCTTTGCCATTTTGTGTATTTACTACCCAGTTGTTTTTAATTATACGCAATTGCAAGCCATTTCTGTCACTTACCAGGAAGAACATCCGCTGCTGTAAGCCTTTTCCAGACAACTTACTGAGGCTGCCCAATCTAATAAATTCCTGTGTAGGAAGAAACAGACACAAGACATGAAATGTCAGTGGTCTTTTCAAACATCTGGCTCGAAGTCTGGGAGTCATTACTGTTGCATCGCTGACTTCATTCTGTCAGTGGCTCAGGCCTGCCTGTTCCTTTCCACTACATTTAGGTGATGTTCAGCCAAGCCGGTTCTGCCTGCCTTCTTCTTTAAGAGCTCCTTCCGACCTTTACAGTGTGGGAACTGCTGTAGCAAATAACCTACTCCTGCCTCCAGTAACGTCAACAACTCAACGATCAGATGGGCGGAGCCTGTGACATAGCTGCTTTCCCACAATATTTACTTATTTAGTGCATCTGTATCCTACCGTTCCTCAAAAGGAACTCAGGGCGGCATACGTGGTTCTCTCCTCCTCCATTTTACCCTCACAATGACCCCATGAGGTAAGTTAGGCTGAGGTTAGACTGGCTCAAAGTTGCCCAGTGAGCTTCATGGCAGAATGGGGATTTGAACCCGGATCTCCCAGATCACAGCCTGACACTTTAACAAGAAGAAGAGGTTGGATTTATACCCCGCCCTTCCCTACCCAAAGGAGTCTCAGAGCGGCTTACAATCCCCTTCCTCTCCCCACAACCTGTACGCAATGCTCTGTCCTTAATTCTCCCTTGGTGTACCAGAATTCTTAGAACTGCTGTAAACGACTCCTTCCCAACAGTCACACAATCCAACAGAACAGCTCCCAACAGCACAATGCCCCTTTCTCCCTCAGTTCCAGAATTCATTGGTGTGAGATCGTAGCAGGGCAGGTGGGAGGGAATGTGCGCCTGCACAGAAGACCTTGATGAACATCAGTTACAGGTAAGTGCAACCCTGTTTTCATCTTCATCTTTTGTGCAGTCCCACATTGGGATTTTAGCAAGCTCACCGCTCAGGAGGCAGGACGAGTTCATCACATGGCACTTCACTGAAACACAGATTGTAATACAGCTTTGCCCAGTGATGCTTCCCTTCAGGCATCCAGATCCAGCGCACAGTGTCTTACAAATGTGTCAGCAGACGACCATGTCACGGCTCCGCAGATCTCCTTCAATGGAACTCCCCTGAGGAAGGCCGCTGATGATCCCTGGGCCCTAGTCGAGTGTGCGTGCATTATTAATGGACAAGGTACTCCTGCCTTCGGGTAACACAATTTTATCGCTGAAACAATCCATTTGAATAATGTCTGTGATGAAGTCTTTTGAAACTCCCGCATAACAAACAGATAAAGGCTTATCTTTCCTAAGAAACTCTGTCCTATCTAAGTAAAACAATATTGCCCTTCTAACATCAAGTGTATGCAGCCCTTTTTTTCTGCCTCCTAATCAGGTGTGGGGAAGAACGCTGGTAAGATAACTTCTTGAGTCAAATGAAATCGCCACTTGCTTTCACTGGCATGAGTCAGGACCCAGTACTTCCCTGTTTGTTCAGGTAAATACATGGCTGAAGTGTTGTGCATTTGAATCAGCACCGATTTTCCCTGTAAGGTATCTGTAAAAGAAGTTAGGGCATGTTTAATCGCTCTTAATTACAGAATATTTATATGGAGTTCTCTCTCCCCTTGATGCTATCTGCCCTGAACCAGCTGGTCACAACAATGAGGCATGTGTAGTTACCACCACTTAATGGGAATTAAAACCAAATGATGCAGTCACAAACAGATATTGCTCATCTGTCCACCGAGATAATGTTCTGGTCACCTTTCTAGGGATAGAGAACTTCTTGTGTTGGGAATCTAGCAAGGGAAAGAACTGCTATTGTAGAGGTCATTAGGCCTAACAAACGCTGTATAGAACGTGCAATCTGAAAACGGTTTGCCCTGAAGCGTCTTTAATGACTGGTAGGTAGGTAGGACTCCTTTTCCTAACTTCACATCTAGAATTGAGCCAATAAACTGAACCTTTTGTATCCCTTCCAATTAAGAATTCCAGTTTATCACTAAACCCAACCCTTCATGTGTATCAGTAACCAATCTTAAATCATCTTCCAACTGCTCTCTAGATGTAGCTACAACCAACCGGTTATCTAAAAAGGGATATATGGTGCAGCCCCTCAAACATAAGTGGGCCACAATCACTGCCATGCATTTTGTGAATGCTCTCGGTGCAGTTGCCAACCTGAATGATAACACAGTGTATTGAAATACTCTCCCCACGTATTTGAATCTCAGGTATTTCCTATGCTCCTTATGTATTGCAATATGAAAATATGTGTCCTTCAGGTCTAATACTGCAAACCATAACTCTTTCCTCAGTAATTGTAACACTTGCATCAACGATGTCATACAAAATTTAGACATCTTCAAGAATTTGTTTTGCATCTTTAAATCTAAGATTGGTCTATTTCCCCGGGTCTTTCTTCTGTACTAGAAAGAAATGGGAGTGAAACCCAGAGGGCTCACCTGGGGTATCTGTTACTTCTAACACCCCTTTAAGCATAAGCTGATGTACTTCCTCTTGCAAATGGGGGAGTATATTATCCACAGCTTTACCCACTTGTTGTGTTTTGGGTAATGAATTAAACTCTAACCCTTCCTAACAATACTAAGTACCCGTATTTATCCACTGTAACAGAACACCAGACTTCAAAACAAGCCATCAATCTGTTTAAAAAGCTCGTGTGATTTATCAGAGTCATGCTGCAGCAGTCAGGATGCTCCTTTGCCCTGAGAGTGCAGCTCCTTCTTGCCCTGTCCCTGGGCAGGTTTCAGCCTAGCCGGCTGCCTTCGTCTTCCAAACTGCTGCTGTTGCTGGGAAAACCTATGGACAGGATACGCTGATGGGTTTTGACAGCAGGGCCTCCAATCTCTGCAGTATGACTACCACGGTTGCTTCTAATAGGACAGCTGGTCCCGATGATGTCACCCCCCAATGATTCCGCTGTTCGACGGTTCGTTTTAATCTTCGTCAAAGTCTCGTCGGTCTTTTCCGAAAATAAAAGTACTACCTTCAAAGGGGAGATCTTCCCCCCCTCTGGCGTGTATCCACTAGCAGCGCAGTGGATCCCAGCCATGCATAACACAACAGATGTAGTCATGGCTCTCACTGAAGTCTCAGCTGAGTGTCTACTCGTGTTAATCAGCTGCTTTGATAACTTCAGGGCTTCTGCTTGAATAATCTAAGTAGGGAAATTTTTTCTCAAAGTAAATAAATTTTCCCCAAAGAAACAGTTGGTACCCTGCCATGATGGCAAGATAATTGGACATTCGGTGGTCTAGAAGAGTACATTTTTCATCCCATCGCATCTAGCTTCCTCCCTTCTTTATCCACCGGTGCAGCATGATAGCTTTGCTGCCCCCTTGGCTGCATCTCCTCCGTTACCAAGGATGACGACGGGGGGGATGTGTACCTAAGTAGGTACAGTTATCCTGTTTTACTCTATAAAAATTCTCTGTGTGCTGTGATGTAGCTGGCACACAGTTTTACTCCATAACTCTCCTGCCATCTCTGAGAACCCCTCTAACACGGGAAAAAGGACCACTCCTGGTGACTCAGACTATAGATGTGACAAGATTTTATCCTTTGGATGCTGAGATGTAGTGGAGGCGTCAATCTCCAATGCCTTTGGCATACGAAGCACCTGTCCTGCATATAGCCTGAGATCTTCTGAAGATGACGAGGATGACACATCACCCAGCCTCTCTTCAGGAACTGGTTCCTATGGAGCGTCAGATCCTCTATCTGGAAAAAAAAGATGACATAATTTTCATTTGACTCCTCATCTAGGTCAAATGTTGGGTCCAGGGATCTTGGTCCATGTGGACATGCAAACCGTGCTGCTACAGAAACCCCTGGAGGGCAACAGGTACTCAGCTATTCCATTCCTGGAGTTATTTTGTTATATAGACTCCAGTTTTTCAGGTAGTATGGGGCCATGCAGTAAGGCCATGGTGACACAGGTGGAGCAGCTGCTGTCCACGGAGCTGATCATGCCGGTCTCCAACGGAGGGACTGGATCCATTCAGATCTCTCCTTCTGACAGTGACAGTTCTGGGGAGGATGATCTGACCATCGGCGTTCCAGGCAGAGGCTCAGGCGATAAGTTCCCTCTCCCCTCTTTGTTCCTTACTTGGAGCCGACAGCATGGTGATGTTTAACTCCTGGCTTCCCGCTCTCTCTCTGCTTCCTTTTGCTCTTCACCCTCTTGGCCAGTGGCTCCGAGAGACTTCTTGGCACGGAAGGGGATCTGGAGCGAACAGTGGCTGAGGCTTTATCTCTGCTCTGGGCCGATGGAACTGATTTCGTGGAGATGACAGATGGAGCCTTTGATCTTTCAGCAGCTTGAGCAGCCTCGTCCAGCATCTCTGAAGCCTATAGGGCGTTTTCCCTCATAATGCCGCTTTCAGTTTAGATGCTCTTTCAGAGTGGGCCTTATTTGTAAATTGCTGACAAACTTTGCAGTTTGACACCTGGTGGCCTTCGCCCAGGCATAACACGCACAGACCATGTTCATCTGCCTGTGCCATCGCTGCTCCATATTGGGCACATTTCTTAAACAAGCTCTTCTGAGCCATTAGAGAATCTGATCTCTCTCTCTCTCTTTGCATTGCAACAGCCAAGCTCTGGAGGGATTTCTTCCCGTAATTCTGCTCTTTAGGAACAGTTAGTCAATTTCCTTCTTAACTGATACAATGTATCCTGAACGCTAGAAGACAGACCTACTCCGTCACAGCCAAGAAGGAACTGAGGGAGAAAGGGCCTTTGTGCCGTTGGATTGTGTGACCGTTGGGAGTCATTTACAACAGTTCCAATGGGCACGCGGATGCCCCTAAGGAGTCTAAGCTGGAAGAAGATCTGCCGTGGCAAGGCTGCACGTGCCCAGTCCCCAATGTGTGCCTGCACAGAAGATGAACAGGAAATATCTAACTGAAAATATATTTTGTGATCCAGAACGTTAGAAATACCACAGTGACAGTATCTACCTCTGCCTTGTGCATTGATTCTGCTAGGCTAGGTATCAGTGACTGGTGCAGCAGACTCCACCCTTCCTTTTTAACACTATGGGAAATTAGGATCCTCATTACATGAGATGTATGACATGAGTCGGGTTGGGCATCCCCCTATCTCACCTGCACTCGTTTGTATGACGGGACTCACCTTAAAAAGTGCTGTAGAACCTGATTCTGCTCCAGAGCTTGGTATGGGCAGGAGGGGGCTTCAGCCCTCCATCCCATGCTGTTTTCCTGAGAAAAAAATGGCTGCTGGGGGGGTGCCTGTTTGTCCCATTGCTGGGGTCCATGACCGCAGGGCAAACGGCCTCCATGAGGCCATTTTTGCTTGCACGAACGGTGTGGGAGTGAAAGCTGAAGCCCCTCCTCCTGCCATATCACATTTCGGGCAGAATCGGGCTCTACAGCACTTTTTAAGGTGAGTCCCCTGTCATACATGGGGGTGCAAGTCAGCTAGGGGGATGCCCAACCTGATTTGCATTGCATGACCTAGGGCTCTAATTCAGAGTGCCAGTCGTCCACAAAACAAGGCATGGGTCAGCCAATGGTGAGTCCCAACGTACTGCCTGAACAATGCAGGCAGCCACTTGCACCAACTGCTCCCCCCCATGAAACTATACCCAAATTCCCCTCTTCACATAGGACTAGGCCACAGAGATAAGTACTGCATAAAAATAAATAACATGCAATTTTATCAGCATCACCATCATTATTGCTGTTGTCATAGTTTCTGGGGCTGGTTTGAAACAGCCCAGGGAAAACTGGTGAAAAACAGATTAAGTTTTCTTAGACCTGCACACCACTAAAATGAGCAGAACCACCATGTCACCTTTTTAGGACAGAGATGAGATGAGACCAGATGAGAAAGTCTCCAGCAGCTGGAAGAATTTAATCAAGAAAATGGACTGTCCCCACAGACAATTTCCAGACAGGTTTTTTGCTCAATCTTGTGGAATTCTCTGCCTGCAACAGTTCCTTTCCAGCACTGGTTTTTGTTCACAATGCTCCCACAAACCCCATTAAATTCCAGCAGAACAGCAATTTTGGGTCCCATCCATTATGTAGTAAGACTGGTGACCAAACGTTTGTGCAGTTTTCCCACATCAAGAAGTTCCTGTTTCTTAAAAACTAACATGATAGAAAGCAGAATTCTATGGTTGGGTTTCCTAAGGTAGCAATTTTCTGGGAACTGAGAGGCATTCTTACACATAGGAAACACGGAGCGTACCATCTGCCACTTACATTTTGAAGTGGCATAGTCCTAGAAGAACTAGACTATTGTAAGTAAACAAAAAGAGTAAATCGGCTCCTTTGAGAGCAATCAAGGGCAAAGGCGTCAAAAGAACTGATAGTTTATTTACTTACTTATTTAATTTGTAACCCACCTTTCCCCCCAACGGGGACCCAAAGTGGCTTAGATCATTTCTCTCCTTCATTTTGCCCTCGCAACAACCCTGTGAGGTAGGTTAGGCTGAGAGTGTGTGTCTGGCCCAGGGTCCCCCAGCACTGTGATCCACCACCCCCTTGACTTCCCCAACATACTCGCAGAAGCACATTCCCACGGCTTTATATTATTTCTATATTTATAATTAAAAAGCACAGAACATTTTTTTTTAAAAAAAGGTGAACCTTTTCCCATCTCAGAAGTGTTCAAAGTTTTAAAGAGCACCATTCCCTGAACGTGTTTTTTATCCAAAATCGACTACTTACCCTTCCTGGAATCACCAGACTGTCGATGCCGATCAAATCTTTCTTCAATTCGTGCAGTTTCTGGAAATTTTCCATCTTCAGCATACTACTGTGGAGCTGAGCCACCATCTCGGAGATCTCTGCCAGAGCAGCTGCGCAACGTAAAACACACCCCCACCCAAAGGATTTCAGACTTTATGCATGGGAGCTGGTGGGTTGCATTCAAACGGATCCCACTTGCCCAGATGTCTCCTGGACTGCCCATGTTAAGAGCCTGCACTATAATTATTTTGGCATTTTTTTGGCACTCGTGCCAGGAAGACATAGCGACTACTGGGGTGTGGAGGACATCCAGAGAAGTGGCTTGAGAGCCTGCCTCTGCCTCCCGGCCCTGGTATTCTTTGGAGGCCTCCCAACCAAACACCTGCCAGGGCCGGCCCTGCTTAGCTTCTGAGATCTGATGAGATCACGCTTGCCTGGGCTATCCATGTCAGGGCAGTCTGCACTGTAATTTTTGTGAGCTCTAAAACAGAATAGTTGCAGGTGGTAGACTGGAAGTACTGCAACTCGAATAGCTAAGATCTCAATTGGAAGTACTGCAACTCGAATAGCTAAGATCTCAATTGGAAGTACTGCAACTCGAATAGCTAAGATCTCAATTGGAAGTACTGCAACTCGAATAGCTAAGATCTCAATTGGAAGTACTGCAACTCGAATAGCTAAGATCTCAATTGGAAGTACTGCAACTCGAATAGCTAAGATCTCAATTGGAAGTACTGCAACTCGAATAGCTAAGATCTCAATGGAGTGCCTTTTTTAAATCGTATGGAAATGGTATGCACCTGTTGTATCCCCAGCTACATATCTCCACTGCTCTTTTAGGATGCCCGCTAGTGTGACAGTGGCTCCGCATTATTCAAAAGCTCTGCAGCATCAAGAGACAGCCACCACCTAAGGCGAAAACCTAGGGTTGGATCCCCGTGAGTCCATTCCCCACAGTTCTCCTCCCAACACAGAATGATTTCCTTCAACAAAGAAAGACATTTCCTCATCGGGGGAGCCTTTCTCCATCACCAAACATCATTCTCAATTGGAGAAAGTTTTTCTCTGTTGGAGGACGACTTAGTAGAAGACTATCATAAGACCTAATTCGGTGGAAGGGAGTCATAGGATCTAACCCAGGGGTGGCCATACTGCAGTTCGGGAGCCTCATGTGGCTCTTTCACACAGTCTAATTTAATGTTAATAAAAAGCAAATTTGCATATTTCCCACTAAAAATGTGTGTGGAATATTTGTTCATGTCTTGTGGCTCTCAAACATCTAATGTTTATTCTGTGTGACTGTTATGTTAAGCAAGCTTGGTCACCCATGATC